TTTCACTTATGGGGACAGATTTTACAAAAAACGAACAATTACGGGGACATTAGCATTATCGGAGACATTTTAGTGTACCCATTAATTTTTTGTCCCCGTAAGCATTGTTTTTTTTTTGTAAAAAAAATGTACCCATAAAAAACTTTTATAGAGAACGTAAAGTACATACATCGACTTGCAAGTGAGTGCTGCTACATCAACTAAGGGTTTGGTTAGGCCAGGCATCAAGGTCAGGCTTAGGGTTAGGGTTACGGCAAGGTTTAAATTTGGTTATATTATTGTAATTAATTGTTTTTCTAAACAGATGAAGTTAAAAATGAAATATAATATAAAATAAATAAATAAAAATAACAATATATATATATATATATATATATATATATATATATATATATATATTTTAAATGTTGACATCTTTAATAGATTTTATTTGTATAAATATTTTAAATAAAACTTCTATTTATGACTTAATAGCTATTTGTTAAAAATATATTTATTTTTACGATATTTCGAGGAAATATTGATTCCCTCATTTTTAAGTATACTCAAAATTATCAAGTATATTAAAATTTTTTAATATACTTGATAACGAGGGTATCAATATTCCCTCAAAATATCGTAAAAATAAATATACTTTTAGCAAATAGATGTTAAACCATAAAAAGAAGTTTTATTATAGTGGCGGGATAGCTCAGATGGTTAGAGCGTCAAAGGAAAAGTTGAAACCCGGACTGTTGAACGATACGAGTTCAAATCCCGCTACCGCCAACTCAGCGCTTGAGTAGTACTTCGGTACGCAAAAATGTTGGTCAATAACGGACGCTACTTTGGATTAGTCTTAATGACTATTAGTGGCTGTTCCTATGCTAAGCCAACAATATCTTCGGATATAAGAACATTGTATAGAAAAATATAGCATGAAAACTCAAATAAATAAATAAAATAAATAAAATATTATATAAATATATATATATATATATATATATATATATATATATATATATATATTTATATATATATATATATTTATATATATATATATATTTATATATTTAAAATATATATTTATATATATATTTAAAATATATATATCAGGCTTGGTCGGGAAGCGGGAGCGATCGCTCTCGAATACTGACCACAGAAATTATATTTAGTTGCGAAAAACTGGCCAGGTTTTTTAGTTGTTTTGAGAACATTTAAGTTTATGAACGAAACAATAAATTTTGGTTTTACGGACAAACATGGAAAACATGGTAACATAAAAAGCTTGAATGTTATCAAAACATCTTGGTGCGGAAGAATGAAAAGAATATTCGTGAACTCTAAAAATCCGCCAAATTAACGAACAAACTAATTCTATTGGTTAAAAAATACACTGACTAAGCCAAATAAAGTTCTAGAGTATTATGTTGAAATGTTGTAGAAATTGTTTTATTCATGATTTGTTACGTTTTGAGATTTCTAGCATAGATTGTTATAAGAATATATTATTAATTCTATCGCTCATTATCGGAGCCACATCTATATAATAGCCGTAAATCTTTTAAACTATTATTATTTGTTTACATAAATAAATGTTTTAAATATTATTTAAATTGTCAAAATTTTGAAAGTTTATTATAAATTTTAGATTTTATTAGTATATACTTATTTAAAGAGTATGTATTTTTTATGTAAATGTAATATTGTGTATCTGTTTTTTAGCGATTTAGTTTGTAAACAAAGACTTACAAAAATTAATTGCGTTTTCAATGAAGTTATTAATAATCATTTAAGTTAATTAAACTAATTATGTAGCAAACATGTAAGAAGTTTCTGGTTACTAAACACAAACTATGCATTTAAAGTATCTCGCGGATGAACAAGCACCGCGCCTGAGGTCACAACAGAACATAAATATATATAGCAAGTTATTAGATGTAAAGAAAAGTTCCTAGATATTGGTTCACTAAATCGAATTATTTTCGATTAAGTTGCCATTCTTAAAAACTCGTTATACTTTTTTTTGCTTTATATACTAATTAAAATTAAAAAGCCCACTCACTAAACATCATTAGCAATATTATGAAGCAGTTTCGCTTCCTTGTCTTAAAAGTATTTTTAACTTTTTTAGTTGATTTCTATCTAGTAAATTTAATTTCTTTAGTAATTCAATGATTTAATTATTTCATTTGTTTTTCTTACTAAGAAGAACTGTTTCAAATATGTTAAACTTTTCAAACTACGCGAAACATAGAATAGGTATTAAACAAATTAACTTTTTTATTTATAAAATAATTTAGCTCAGATAAAACTAAAACTTGCAAACTTTGATAAATAAAGAACATTTTTAAGTAAACGTATGATGTTACTTAATATAAAAAACGTCGCTTAATTTTTTTAAAAAAATTATAAAAGAGCGATGTTTCGAAAATATTTGTTCTAAACGTAATTTATTTTCCTTTTTTTGCGTTAAAAGATATTTTATTTTCCTAATATTTTTTTTTGTATTTGTCTCTCATTGGTCCAATTAATCTTCGCATTTTTTTTTTTTTTTTTTTTTTTTTTAAAACGACTAAAAAATCTGGCCAGCTTTTCGCAACGAAATATTATTTCCGTGGTCAGCAATCCAGAGCGATCGCTCCCGCTTCCCGACCAAGCCTGATATATATATATATAAATATATATATATATATATAAATATATATATATATATATATATATATATATATATATATATATATATATATATATATATATATATGTATATGTATATATATATATATATATATATATATATATATATATATATATATATATATATATATATATATATATATATATAAAATTCACAAGTTGAACTATTATTTCTAAGTTGTGTAACCTCAGATACTTTGTGATCACCATACCAACGAATCCAATGACAGTCATTAGCTGCTGGTCTTTGACGAATTACTCTGTGTGAAACTACCATTCCAAACCACCAATCATACCCTTTTAGTTTCCCTAAAACCAGATCCCCAATTTTGATCTGAAATAAGCAAAAAGATATGATACACTTAACCATGTTTTTATTCTTTAACAAAATTTTGTTATTTTACCAGTTCATCTGGTAAAATAACAAAATTTTGTTAAAGAATAAAAAACAATAGCGTCAAACAATCTTGAGGAATATATAAAGACATGAAAGAATAAACAAATATAAAAATAATTAGATAACTATGAATTAATGAGTTAATATATAAAAACATATATACAGACAAGGAAGAAAAGAAGAGTGTAGAAAGATTGTTGGTTAGAGATAAATTCAGGACACAGTGTTGAATAATAAAGAATAAAACATTTATAGACAAATATTTATTAAGATTATTTGTTATATTGGATAACAATGCTAAGATTATTCTGCTGTTACATCTCTTTATCATGTTGGCCACTTTCTTACTCCAGAATCTATTTGTAATCTCCATAAATTACTAATCCTTCTTTTTATGTAATACTGTTGCCATATCTGGAGCAGATCTTCAAATGATACCTTTTCTTATTTTAGACAAGGTGCAAAAAGGCATTGTAAGCACAATTGGACTTGTTCTTGCAAGCCAATTTTCGACTATTGTCATAATGTTGTTTCTCTTCCTCTTTTCTATAAATACTAAAACAGACTCTAAAGAGCTAGCACCTCTTGTGCTATCTACTAAAATTTATTCACATGTTACTCGCCATTCAATTAAGTATCATCCATTTATTGTGACAGTTACTAAGCTCAAAAATTATTTTTTGTCTAGTTTGCTCCCTTCATCTTGTTTTCCTAATTTATATAATCTGTAATCTTTAAAGTCATCTGTTAATCAATATCTTGTTTCTTAAGCTTTTTTTTTTCTCTTCTGATTCTAATAGAGGTTGCTTGCAGCCTTGTTGGAAGTGCATATGTTTAAAAAAAGAAAGAAAAAAAACATCAAAAAGGAATTAATAAAGAATAAATCATACATTACTCCTATAACTTGTTTGTCTCGACTACCCAGAGTTATAATTCATGGCGATTATGATAACTAATCTATATATAGCATGACACTTTTGGAGGCACTGCTAGATCACAAGTGGATCATATCTCTACTTGAGCTGAATAACCACACTTTATCTCAAGTTTATAGCATATGAGCTGTCTACGCTCAGGTAAAGTCTGCCTGTTTACAGAACCTACTACACATCATTAACCAATCCTCCTCTGACCTTTTGGAACTATTAGATACAAATCCATTCAAACAAAACAACAGCCACTCTCCAACAAAAGAGACTGTGAAAAATTATATACGCTTAGAATAATTATTAGAACATTTGGCAATGAAGTCAATTCAAGAAATGCAACCAAAAGTTTTTAAAGGCACTGAAGTAAAAGACATCAGTGAATGATTAATCAGCTTTCACCATATTGCTTTTTATAATCAGTGGACAGATGCAAAAAAAATATTAGCATTTCAACTTCACTTGAAAGGTTGAGCTCTAGTATACTACAAGACACTTCCAGAGCACAGCAAAAAAAAATTTATTCGCCTACAAGAGCAGTTCAGTCAACACTATGATAATATTAATTTAGCATAAAACCAGAAAATGAAACTGTTTAGGTTAGTGCAGGATGCTATTATCAGTACTTATGTAAACACCCTTGATAAACAGCTAAATATTGATGATGAGACAAAGCTTAGTTTATTTACAAAAGGTTTAAAGCCCCACCTGCAAGACACCTTTAAACTTAAACAACCAGGCAACTACCTTTTTACAATGGTTTCTATCAATAGTAAACAGATGTCTGTTTTCTGGAGAATTGTTTTGCTGATAGATACAAAAGTAATGGTTTTGATTAGAAATTGCAGCAGCATGTGAGGAAAACCATGGAGAAGAGTGAGACTTGACTTGATGTTGACAGGGGATAAAATTTCTATCCAAGAGCCATCACAAAGATAAGATAGAAAGATTTCTATCCAAGAGCCATCACAAAGAAAATCATGGAAAGAGTCCTAGTCAGCTTTAAGGTAGTTGTAAGAGGTACGATAATAGAGGGATTCTGATGATGAAGAAGAATGAGATAATAGTTTTAAAGAGATCAAACTAGAGCACTGACACTAAAGCCAAGCCATTCAGTGTGATGAGCATTTAAGTCACCAACAACAACTGTATTGGAAGATGGATAAAGAGAGAGGGCTTAGTCAATTTGATCAGAAATAACATGAAAGGAGAGTGATTAAATAAAATGTTATATAAAACATAAATGAATTTAAAATTTAAAAAAAAAACGCTTTAGGATGTATTAATATTTTTGTAGCTCTGGTCACAAACCCAACCCCAGCTATTTTTTATCAAACCCAGTTCCAGTCAAATTTCAGCCCTGAAATTTGACTAAAAGCGACCTATTATGGCAATTTATAAATAGCAAATGAGTCTCCGCTTCAAGTTTTAGGACAACTGGTATTTAACATTGACATATTTAGATACTCTATCATGATTGCAAATAATTTAACACACATCCTAATTTTGAGTTATTATTTTATGTGTAAATTTGGCATAAAACTGAACTGTGGCTAACACCTAGTTACATTTGAAGGTAAATTTGATGTACTTATGATCAGGGAAACTATCAACAACAAATTTACTATCGGAAAAATTATTTACGATCTGCTGTAAAATGCAAATTAATGGATTTGATAACAAATGGGCAACTGCTCACAAAAAATAATTCAATTATTTACTAACCCAAGAATGTAATGTCAAGTCTGATAGAAAAACACAAGATAAAAAACAGACCAGAAATAGTTTGACAGCAATTCTCTATTTAAATAGTCCGGAAATATACAATAAGTCCCTAGAGAATTTATTTTAAGTGCAAAAGGTAGGGTTCTGGGAAGCGCTATAGCAAGTGAGGGAAGCCAAATTATTAAGGTTATTGGTGGTGCAATACAAATATCTGAACAAGAAGGCTATGTCCTTACACTAGACAATGGAATACTCCTGAAAGATCCTATGTTTTTAGACAATATCTCTTAAGAATACAAACCCACAGTAGTATTTTTAATAACAAATTATTTAATTTTGAAATTAAACCTGTAAAAAAGACTAAATTTTACCTGTTACAGTAATGACAGGAATTAAGATCGGAGATTCCTGGATGGAGAATGCCGTCAACCACCATGAGTTTTCAACAAGGAAATCCTGTAGTGCATATAATTTTAATGATGATAATTTTAATGATTTTTTAAAATGTTGTTTGATAATAATGAGTTTTATAATGTTGAACTTTATGATGCTATTTTACTATGATGAATTTTATTTTATTGATGCAGTTTGCTGTTTATTTGATTCTTGCTGCTTATTCAATATTTTGCTGATTTTGCTGTTATTCTCTGTTCTGCTGTTTATTTGAGATTTTACCGCTCATTCGGGATTCCACTGATTTTTGCTTTTTTGAAAATTTACCACATATTTGAGATTTTGCTGCTATTCACTGTTTTGTTGTTCACAATGATGATTTTGTTTTATGATGATTCTGAGTCTGAATTCTCAGATTGTTATACGATAATGTTGTTTTTGTGCTGATATTATTCTTCCCCAGGGCTGTGGAGTTGGAGTCGGGGTCAGAGTTGCCACATTTTCAGCGCAGTCAGAGTTGATAAACAAAATCGCGACTCTGGCTCCAATAGTAAAACTTCTTGGTATTGCACGTGCATGTACAAAACATTAAATTAACTTTATGTTCATACTAAACCTAAAAGAACATTTTATAAATTTCTCAAAAAAGAAATTTTTAACTTATCGCATAATATTTTTTAAAAATTCAAAGAATTTTTCAAAAATTTTGCTTCGGAGTCGGAGTTGTGCTTAAAAAATTTCAACAACTGGAGTTGGAGTCGCTACTTTTTTTTCAACCCATACCCCTGTTCTTTCCCATAAGGAACGTTACATAGTATGCCCATTCACACATAAAGTGTTTAAAAATAAACTAATCAAGCGAAGCACTTGGGTAAATGAATCATGAAGGGTTTAGTGTAAATGCTATATGAACCAGTTAATTAAGACACACCAAACAATTTTGAGGAATATATAAAGACAGAAAAGAAAATGCAAGTATAATAATAATTAGATGACAATAAGAAAGATGATAAAACATACATGCAGAAAAGGAAAAAAAGAAAAGTGTAAAAGAATTTTTAGAGATAAATTTGCGACACAGAATTATATAATAAATAAACATTTATAGACAAATATTTAGTTAAAAAAAAAATTTATATTGCATAACACTAAAAAAGAATTAATAGAGATTATATTGTACTTCACTCCTATTATTTGTTTGTCTAGACTAACTGGAGTTGTGTTTCATGGTGATTACAATAATTAATCTACAAACTGCATGCCAAATAAGTAATATTAATAATTTTTTGTTTTGTTTTTTAATTTACAGGTAAACGAACAGTGCAAATTAAATTATTAAAATGTGACATTTAAAAGTATTTCATAATTCGAATATTTCAAATAATTCATTGAAATACAATATTGTTAACTCTAAAACGGCTGCTGCAATAGATGAAATTGTGTTTGTATATGAGGATATGTTGACAAAATAAACAATTTTCTTTATAAATATAACTTACACTTGGAAAAATGACTCATAAACTCACAAACTTTACTGCGGAGTAATGTTGCTGAAATGTAAGAACTGTTGAAAAGTTTAGAAAACTTTTAATTATTCTTTATTTTAATTAACTTTTATTCGTTTTCTTTCTTCAATTCTTTAATAACTTTGTTACTAAAAAGTTTAAAAAAGATTAAAAGCAAAAAAATTTAATGAATTACCTGAAAAAAATCACTGCCTATTTCTCTGTCACAGGTTTTATCATTTTTTTTGGAGGAATACTTATTTTCAATTACACACTTTTGTTTTTTACCAATTGTAATAGAGGCGCAAGATACATTGTTAGGTGAAACACTGGATAGAGTTTGATTTTTAATTGAACATGCACGCTTTGGCGTTTTTTCATTCAGTAAAGTTACATCTAATTTTATACCATCTTTATAAAGTCTCATTGTTTGATTTGAATTCTCCTTTAAACAACTAGTTTGAAGAGGTGTGGAGTTGCTGTGAAAAGAAGGATGTTTACTGTTGCATAAAAAATCTTTGCATGTCACATCATTGTGTTCTATGTTAGAGAGTATTTTATCAGGAGATCTTTGAATGGTATGTGTCATTTTTTCTAAACAGTCCTTTCTGACATGATCAACTTTATTTAAAAACCAATCTTGCGCATTGTAGTTCTCTATATTTTTCTTAATATTTTCACATTCTGAATTCTTTATCACCGTGTTTTGACATTCTAAATTTGTAGATTGTGCAGTATGATTGATAATTGAAGATTTTAAAACATTAATTTTGCTCCTATTTTTTACTTTGCATAAACTTTTTTTGGAATCCACCTCATTGTTTTTAAATGAGTTTATTGAACTATGTTGATCACTAGAAAAATAGTTATCTGAATCTTCTAAATTGGGTGATAAGGAATAATTTTTCAACAAAAAATCTATACTTTCAGAATTATCTTTACTTGTTAATTTGGAAGACTCTGTATTACTTGTATCAGAAGATTCTATAACAAAATCAATGCTTTGATTCAATGAAGTATTAGTAAAATCTAGATTTCCTTGACATGGTTTATTTTTGTCTTTAATTACTAAAAATAAATTTTAAACATTTTTAATATAAGAATGTGTAAATATATCAAATGTACATGCACATATACATGAATACAAACATATATTTATTGAATGATAAAAGTCAGTGATGTTGCAATTTTGTCTGATTTTAGCATACCATTATTATATCTATTCTTTATCAAAGGGTTTTTCAAACAAACTAATTTCTTCAATTTAAAATTAACACTTTTAAAGATTATATTCACTATGTTGTGTTTAGCATTTCAGAGCTCGAATTAATGAAAAAATTAACTTGAGCTTTGATATGCTAAACACAACATAGTGTTTATTCCCCTATTCTTAGCATCGCTATGCAATAATGGGGGAGAGGGATTGGGTTAGGATAAAATTGTATCTTTTGTACATTAATTTGTTAATTTTTTTTTAAACATATTATCTCTCATATTTAAATATTATCTTTAAGTTCATTTAGTGGAGTTGAAAATAGCATAAGTTACTGTTTTAATTTACAGCTTAAGTTATAATTTAAAGTTTAAGTTGCAGTTATAGTGTAATGGGCAAGTAACATATTTAATACTATCAAGATATTACTTTTAGTTGTTTTTACTCAACATAATACTTAATAAAGTAAAAGTAAAAAAATAAGAGTAAAAACACAAATATTCAAACCACTTTAATTAGTCATAAAAAACTATTTAATACGTTCCTACTGACAATAAAACGTGTTATTTTTAAAGAGTATTTAATTGTTATTGTAAAAAGCTATAAAACAATAATAAAACATTCTGCAAAGTTATTTTAATAAAATGAAGAGCTTGCATTAATGTAAAAAAAATCCGTAATGCTATTTTATTGCTGCAATCACAGTTTATAACTTTAATAACATAAAAACAAAAAATAATTAGAATTTTAATAAATTTAAACATTACCGTCATAAAACTTTAAACTTTATATATGCGCAAAAACATTGCTCTAGACCATATGAGTCTATAATCTATAGGCCAAACAAATAAGCTCAAAGCAATAAAATATTAGATACCACTTTTTTATAATTTATTGTTTCTTGATCTTGTGTACTATTAGTAAAAGTAAAATTAAAAACAAATGTTTAAAACCCAATGCTTTTATATTTTATTAAAACGCAAATTTTGCAATCAATTTTTTCTGATATTGCTATTTTATTTTATTAACATTTGGCTGTATGTGTGTGTAAAAAAACAAAAATAATTCAGGAAGAGGCGAGTGGCGAACCACAGACATTCCATTTACGAAATTCAATGTCTTATCCAAATAAGCTAAATGCGCATATAAGTAGGCACAAATAATCTACTTATTTTAAAAACTATTATTCTTCTTCCCATATATAAAATAAACTTAATTAAAATTAACTAAATTAATTGACTTATTCCAAAACTAATTATTAAATATTGCATTATTATCAAGCAAGAGTATGTATGCAAAATTTGAAGAAAAACTATCATCAGGAAGTGACTCAAAAATTGATTGCAAGATTTGATGCTCACAGACAAACAAACAAACAAACAAACAAACAGAGACAACAAGTTAATAAAAGCATTGGAAAAAGAGCCATTTATGACAACTTATTATTTGGTTAGTTCTAACATTCTGTAAATCGAATCAATAGTGATTTTACTTTTGGCACATGTGACAGGCTGATTCTTTAAACTTATCCAACAGTTAGACATAATAGTTTCAAAAGTTAAGAGTCTTATTTCTAAAAACGCCAGAGTGAGACATCAATACTTTTCATATCCAAAAAATAATTTTGCACAATTAAAGCAGTATAAAAAATGTGACAATGTTCTAATGTTAAAACTGTTCCACTGGAAAGCATTGTACAAATACATGCAATGTGATAGGAATAACTTTACATTAAATAGGCTTGAATGCCCATAAAAGCACTTTATCAGCATAATTGATAAGTATATAGATTCTTAATCTCTATTTTATATTTTTTTATACTATATTTTTTATATCAAATGTTACTGCCGAGGTATTCAAAGCTGTCAACAAAATTCCAGTATATATATATATATATATATATATATATATATATATATATATATATATATATATATATATATATATTTAATGTTTATATTGTATATAAATATATATACATATATTTAATATTCATATTATATATATATATAATATATATCTATATATATTATATATATATATATATATTTAATGTTTATATTGTATATAAATATATACATATATTTAATGTTCATATTATATATATATATATATATATATAAATATATATATATATATATATATATATATATATATATATATATATATATATATATATATATATATAATGTTTATATTATATTATATATATATGAAGAGTTTGTTTTCAAAATGCGGTAAACGCCATTTTAAAAATTTTTTAGAAATTGTGTGGTTTATTTTTAGTTTATAAGGACCTAGCAGACATTGTGTCCGAATATATGCTAAACGAAGTATAACCCAATATTTTTTTACTTCTAAAAAACATTTATTTTCAAAACGCGGTATAAATTTTTTTATTTATTTTCAAAATGCGGTATTTAATTTTGACCAATCCGTGGCAAATGTATATTACTTCTGCGCAAGCGCAAATATTTTAAAGTTGCGTTAAAGAAATGGTCGATTGCGATGGACAAGATTAATGCGTTACCTAATATCCTATTTCACATAGAAAAAAAGATATGATGTATGAAACAAAAGAAAAGAAAATCATTTCTTAATTCTAGTGTTCGTTTAAACTACCATGCTTTGTTTGTTTAACTGAACGAATTATGGAATAATGATAGAAAATATATTAAAAAGGCAACTTAAATTAATAAGTTTAAATATATTTGTTACCTGTTTTTTAATTGAAAGCATTCAATAATAATACTTCCTTTTTATTTTTTGTTAAACCGACAATTGCTTTGTTGCAAATAAAATGAGGCTATTGCAGTATTTTATTTTTAAAATTTTATTTCGTTCAAAAATATAACGATGACTTTTATGTTATATTAATTGTCCATTAGTTCTATGGAGACTTAAAAATAGTGATCATCATTGTTACAACTACACAACACTAAAAAAATATTATTGTTTATTGTCCATATTTAACTCTCCGAAACAAATATAAATTTACAATTGCGAATTGTGAAATGTAATAGTTTACATTACTTTAATAAAACATTGTTTACATTCACATTATCAATAAAATATAATGACCAAACATTAAATACACATATTTGTTCAATATGTTTACTAAAATGTTTATTAAAACTTATTCAGGTCATTTAAAGTTTAAAAACTTTCCATAACATCTTTATAAAATGGATATACCGCATTTTGCTAACAAGCTTTAATTGGATATACAGTATTTTGAAAATAAATGCAAACTTATTGACAAAAAAAAAAAAAATTTATTTAATAATATTTTATTTATTAACATTATATAATATACTTTATGTATATATACATTAAGAAACAATAATTTTTACAAATATACGAGACAAGTTGATGTGGCGAAAAAAGTCAATTATCTCAATACCACAAAAATGGATATACCGCATTTTGAAAATACACTCTTCATATATATATTTAATGTTTACATTATATTATATATATATATATATATATATAATTAATGTTCATATTATATATATATATATATATATATATATATATATATATATATATATATATATATATATATATATATATATATATATATATATATATATATATATATATATATATATATATATATATATATATATATATATATATATATAGAGTATATAGTATATATATATATATATATATATATATATATATATATATATATATACATATATATATATATATATATATATATATATATATATATATATATACATATATATATATATATATATAATATGAACATTAAATATATATATATAATATAATATAAGCATTAAATATATATATATATATATATATATATATATAATATATGTATATATTATATATATATATATATATATATATATATATATATATATATATATATATATATATATATATATATATATATATATATATCCAAAGTTTTTCAACCTGGGTCTTAAAAGAAGTGTTCTTTAAAATTTTATCAACCTGGGTCTTAAAACAAACAGAGACGAGGAGTTAATAAAAGCATTGAGAAAAATTTTCATTCAAATAGTTTTTAAGTTGATATTTTTATTTATTTTTTTCATTCACATTGTTTTGCAATAAAAAGTGAAACAACAAAATGGTTTGGTTTGGTTAATAAATCGAATTATATATCCTTTAAGTTTAAGAATATATTTATATTATTTTTATAGAAAAAAAATTCTTTGGACAGAAGTAAAATAATTTATTTATTTTAATTAAAATTTTCTATAATTTAATTTTTATTTTTACTTTTGCAATCACTGGTGTAATGTTTGCAATAGAATGTTTCTACTTTTAAAACTATTTTCAAAAAACAAAATAAATTTAACTATTAACTCGCTTGCATTATGTTCTAAATCTGATATTTTAACTAGATAAATGTTTAACTTTCTGCAACCATTCTTTTATTACAGATGCTGCTGAATTAAATTTATAATTATTGAGCATTAAAATTCTTTTACATTTCTCCAATTTTTTTTTTCTATTTTAATATTTCAATATTAAAATGAAATATCAATCAATATTAAAAATTTCTTTAGGGCTCTTGGTTGAATAAAGGCTAGAGTTGGTTTCTTGACAAAAATATTTATCTTGGGCAAATAATAACTGCATGCAGTTATTATTTGCCTAATAATAACTGTCTTGTTAAAGCCCTCCTAGGCAGCCTCATACTTCTTCTTCTATTAGGCTGCTGTAGATGTAAACCTAAGGGTTGGCGGAAAGCAGGTGCAATTGCACTCGATAATTGAGCACGAAAATAACATTTAGTTGCGAAGAACCGGCCAGATTTGTTAGTCATTTTGAGAACATACAAGTTTATGGA